TGTGTGTGTGTGTGTGTGCGTGTGTGTGTGTGTGTGTGTCTGTCTGTGCGCGCGTGTGTGTGTGAGATGGTGGTTAATAGAGAGGTCATCCGCTCCTGTAAAACAGCTTGGAGGGGTTCTGCAATAGTTGAGTGGGTGCTAGCGTATATCATTTAGAAACTAGGAGGTAGATACTTTGCGTATATCATTTAGAAACTAGGAGGTAGTTACTTGTGGGTGAGCAGCTCTAAGTCTTCAAAACAGACTGTTGGATCATCCCCAATCTATCGCTATTCACCTCATCAATTTCTCTTTAATATAATTGTGTGCATGTTGAAGGTCTTCAATGTGTTTAAATGTGTTTTGATGGGGTTACAGTTCATGGTAGGGTATTTCAGTTTTCTTTTATTTATATGTACTGCATGTTCTATATACTTCATGGCTGAAATTTGTGTTTTTATGGTGAGAGGCGTAGCCAGAAATTTTTCAGTAGGGTGGCCAGGGTTACAAAACCTCCAACTGAGGGGTGGCCATGAGTACGTGTATTTCCGCATGTGCGTGACCCCTTCTGTAACTGAGAAGTCATCGTTTATCATACCATCCACAGTTAGGGTTTTATGAAATAAAATGCACACATATCCAGAAGTGTGCCCAATACACTTTTAATACAAGCAGGATATAAAAAGCAACATTTTGCTGAGCTTAATTTACTAATTAATACCATTTTATCTGCCTTTGCTTTGCTTTTGTGTACTCTCATCTTATGGTCTACTTCTCTCTATCTCTACTAGTGGCCAATCAGAGTGATCACTTGTCAATTAAATTGTGAAAAAGACTTAGACTTTGCAAAAATATGATTGTGACAGTTCTTTTGTTTTCTACCGTTTCCACTTTTGTTGTAACCATTACAACTAAGCCACAGTGTTCAAGTATCAAGTCAAGTACAACTTTATTGTCAAATAAAGTTGTTGTGTTGCCTAAAACCTAAAAAAAAGGCACGACAAATGTGGTCCAGTTCCTCATTTGTATTTGCGTTTTGGATTTAGCGTTTGTCACCATACGCAAGGATAGAGTTGCACATTGTTTGCGGGGCTAACCTGATATGTCTGAGAACTCTTCTGCTTGGAAGGCGGGATCGTTGTCGGATATTTGATTGACAAAACACTGCATGGCCGGACAGTGCACAACCAGGGAGTTGCTGGCCAGGCGGAGCAGACTCTCCAGGTACCTGCGGTGTGCGGGCCAACATGAAGAACAATGAACAATCAGTTAACAATTAAATAACTTACATTTTGGAGTCTTTTGGGAGGGAACCAAATTCAGAGGTACAACATCAAAAGAGCAAAACTCCACACACGTCAGTGTTGACTGCTGATGCTGTTCGACAATAGAAATCAAATAAATATACCGCTGAAATGTAAGGGAATAAATGTACACTCTTATCCATATTAAAAAGTTTTTTTTTTCCAAGTCCTACTGTTACCAGAGTGAAGTTGTAATTTTGCGAGAAAATAAATATATACAGTGCTACCTGTACTTACGAACGTCTCTTCATACGAAATTTCCATGTTACAAAACTCCTCAACGGGAAAATATTGCCTCTTGTTACGAAAAAAATTTCAAGATATGAAAGGTAAAAATACAGTATGGGATGCTACCCGCAGCTCCGAGAACATACTTAGAGCTGCTCTGCCATTGGCTATTCCCGAGCATCATCCTGGCATCCCATTGGCGAAGAAGCACCTCTACTGAATGTGTCTATGTGCGTAGATAGATAGATATGTGTCGATGCAGCGTCCGCATCATTCGCAACTCGGGCCATGAGGTGTTCCGATAGTTTTACGTAAATGTGAATCACCCAGCAAAAGTGTTCACCAGTCGGGCAATCGCTCACTATGCTGATGTTTGCCTTGGACATTTTCGAAGGATTGTTAAAACTCATTCAGTACCAGCCAATTCTAAACGAAGTCTGAAAAGACGTTTAAAAACGTCTTTGGGAGTGAATGAGTTAAAAGCCACCAAGGAACGAATTCCCTTGAATCAGTTCTTTACAAAACGCCAGACAAAAACCACTTCTGAGAGAGAACGTGAACTAAGGGGAAACTGTCTGACATTAAAGTCATCTATATTCTAAGAATAAATCTAAAGCATGACAAGATTAAAATTTAAAAAAAATTACTATGTTGCAGTTGCCAAAATTACAAAAGTGGTCATTTTATTCCAGAAGATGATGCTTTTCAGTTGATGTATGTGACTGAGCGGCTACACTTTAATCGTCACATTTGGACGTACCAGTTGGTGTAGAGGTTGGTGATCGTAGGCGCCCCTCGGGAGTCGAGAGGCTGTGTCTGCTGCAGCAGGACGCTCTTCAGCAGCCGCACCACATCCACGTTGACGTAGTTGGGGAGGGTCTGCAGGCTGGCGGCGTACGACCTCACACCAGCCACAAGTTCAGAGGGCCGAGCGATCTCCTGGGTGCTCTGGTTGTAATGGGCCATTCTCACGATGATCCTGGACAAACGCGTTCAACCCGGGTCATTGAGCACCCTGTGAGGACGCACGCATTGCAGTGTAACAAGTCTCAAATGGCCCACGGAGGCATTAGCATGATGTGATTTTTGTTTGACTCTTTGACCTACGGAAAGGTGCTAATTTTAGGGTGACGGGGGAGATATTCATCAACTCAAAGGAGGGAGATTAAGCAGAGCGTGCGCACATGAAAAACATTAGGTTGCCCCGGTACCAGACCCTAATCTAAATAACATTTAGCACGGGAATGACGCAAAACAAAGCAGTGACTTGTGACTTGACTGATTGTCTCCAAGTGGCTGCATGGAGATAGTTTAAAAATGCAGGACACATCAAATCCCATTCAAATTCAATAAGGGGCACTTCAGCAAAACCTTCTCCACCCCACTTCCCAACTCGCCCTACTCGGAGAGGCGTGCTTCCAGATGAGACGAGAGGAACTCGGTGGGAACGATGGTGTGCTCGTAGACCAGGATGTTGCTGCACAGGCTGTAGGAGGAGCAGATCTCGGTCAGCATCAGATGCATCTTGTCCATGCTAGGGGAGACGGAATGAGAAGATGCAAGTGTTTAGGACAAATAAATAGACGGAATGAGAAGATGCAAGTGTTTAGGACAAATACTCGGATGTCAATCAATAGCCGCTCGGTTCATCGCAACGTTCAAGTCATGCCCCTGTCACAATCATGAAAGATGGGAATTGTTTGGGAAGAAAATGTCATAATAGGTAGACATTAAAAGTACTTTGTGTGGTAAAGTGGAGCCAGTTAAGAGAAAATCTGACTTGGTTGTTATGGTGCGGTCCTTTCGCAGACTTTCGGCTCCCGGTTTTTCCTTCTGGACTTCTCCTTTCTTGGGCACGGCTTTCTTTTGCTTCCTGTGGCGAGCGGCGCTGATGGCTTCAGAAAACTGTTTGGGCAGCAACTGGAGGGCGAAGGGGGTGGGGGGTTGTATTTATTATCCGGAGTATATCATACACGACTCTATCTGTACGGAACTTCAACCTGGTCATTGAGGTTGCATTGCTCAGCGCAAATCTCCAACATGATCGTGCTGGCTTGCTTGGCAATCTGCTCTAGGAAGGTCACACACAAGCGTAGACTCCGTTTCTCTATGGCCTCCTCCTGGGCAAATAAAAACAAAACACGGTATCGTGTGAATATTGTGGAATCGACTAATTTTTTACACTAAGTTCCACCTCAACAAATTTGAGGAAGTCAAGAGTTCATCTGTAGCTTAACTGGTGCAGTTGATGAAGTGAACACTGACCTCTTCAGGGCACAGAGGGTGTCCACACCAGTGAAAACTGGAGCAGACAGAAGGGAAGGCCATGAGGTATCTCTTCATAGTCGTCTCATCGATGTTTTGGCAAAACATCTTCTCAAACAGTCGCGGGTAGAAACTATTCAATGGATCAACGCTCACAGTTAAGAGTAGAAAAGCAAACAACTGATTAAGAAACACGAAAGCTGACCAGAGAATTGACACGTCCGACGTTTCCCGCAGGAGTTCTTCTGTAGCGTCCACCATCTTGGTGTGAAACTGGATCATGTTCATCACCTTGGCCAAGTCCGGGTAGTCCTTGATTGGCAGAGGGGCCTTGTTCACACTGGTGTAAGCCTACGACATGAAAAAAGACGTCTGCTCGTGCTGCTGTGATGCCATCATACTGTAAGTTATAAGGTACTCACAAAAAGTTGAGGATATTTTGATTTCGAGTGACCATAAAATGCTGTTCTCTAACAACAAGTCGAACGGTGAAATTCACATTTGATCCGTGAATCGATTAATACATTTCAAAGGCTGTCCATTTCACTCCACTGTGACTCTTCCAGTCTCTCTGTATCTCTTGCAACTTTTCAAACCTTTTTCATCACTTGTGCAAAGTTGATCTTTGTGTCAGGTGTCGTCTTGGTCTGACAATTGTCAAAATGGGAGCTGTCTGATGAAAAGGACTGTTTATACCAGGGGTCCCCAACCGCCGGTCCGCGGACCGGTACCGGTCCGCGGACCGGCGGTTGGGGACCCCTGGTTTATACCAATTATAACTGAAACGGGAATAGGATTCATCCAATAATGGATCAAATTCCTGCTGTGAATTTTGCAGTTCAGCAGTTGGTCAGAGGAGTGTTTCCCAACTGTTTTTTTATTTGTGTAACAAATGTATTTTCAAGGCAATATCATATTTATTTTTATGTTTAATTTAAGTTCATCTGAGCCTGAAAATTAAATGTCAATATTAAGGAGACGAGATAAAATGATATCAACCCTTTCGGGGACAGCGGCTACTACGGTGGACATCTTATCATGTTATCAGGTTACAGGGCGCATGAAATGGATAATATAATAATCCTTTAGGTTTGATTTATGGAAAATCATCAACCACTTACAGTGGCAGCTCACGGGGATCCCCCAACAAAAATAAACAATCATCCCGTATGAGTGAACTACGGGTTTGACGAAATGGTTTGGGGGTACACATTCTACATTAGAAAGGTTGGGAACCACTGCGTTAGAAAACAGCAAGTAATGCATGAAACAAGAGTCTTGAAGCATGAAACAATTGGACATGTTTAGCGAAGTCAAATTAAGTTCACCTGTAAGGTTAAAGTGCATTTCGGGTTTCGTCATGAAATTTCAACCAAAAGCAGAATACCCCGAACTTTATGTTAGTCGGTATGTACAGTACGTCTGTGCATACCTGCAATCTCAGCCAGTCCAATCTCACAGCCCTGAAATCGAACTCCTCTTTGCTCTCCACTGCAAACACACGAATGAAAAGCATCAGAGGGATCCAAAGTGTAGCCGATCATCCATCCATCCATCCATTTTCGAATTCGCTTATCCTCTTGAGGGTCGTGGGCGTGCTGGGGAATATCCCGGCCCTCATTGGGCAGTAGGCAGGTGACACCCTGAATGGTTGCCAGGCAATCGCAGGGCACATATAGACGAACAATCATTCGCACCCACAGTCACACTCTAGGGACAATTTAAAGTGTTCCATGAATGTGGGATGCAAACACCACGGAGGAAGACCGGAGCCGGAATCGAACTCTGCACCTCTGCACTGTGAGGCGGACATGCTAACCAGTCATCCACCGTGCAGCCTGCAGCCTACCAACCTCTGCCAATTGAAGACTTGCATTGGTAAGTTTATAAGGCCAAGGCACATATTTCACATTAGAAAAATCTCATAACAAAAATGTCATGGAAAGTAGATAGAATTAAACTAATTTTGTTTGGGTCTGTTTAGTTGAGCACAATTCTACTAATCTGTGGTATAGTGGCAACAGGTAGATGCACACGTTAATATTGTTAACCTATCAGTTGAAGAGCATTTAATTGTCCTTACTCATTGCTGGCATACACATGAACAAGAGGTCTAATATTAATATTAAATACACGCACTTGAATAATTTCCTGCGGCAGACCTGATCACAGTGGTCGGGAATGACTGACTAATCAGGCAACAAGCCCCAAAATAATAATCATCATATTAAAAATTGCGAAGCAAAATTCTATCCTATTGTGTCATGATTCGCTGGTATTTGTATGGTGAATTTGCGCCCCCTTGTGGAGTCCACCAGATACACTTGACTGACCTCAGCATTGTCAGCATTAATCACACAGTAGGGGAGCAGATGTCATCGTCTCATAAAGACTATATGGCATCAAGGAAGGCCAAGGGCAATACTTTTGAAATTAATAATTATTCGGTTGCCATTCAAGCGAAGACTATCACTGACGTTAATGACCTTGTTTCACTGAGAGCACAGAAAGGGTCGAAACGAAAGAACTCAGCAGAACCGATTCCTCTTCTGGACACACGTGCATGTTCTGTGGACAATAGTGACGATAAGGACGGTTACAGACGAAGCACTGTAAGTAGAAATGCTACGCTGTGTACGTTCAAGTACCTGTATTGTGTCATTGAGAACCAAGGCATCAAACTGAGCCAGGTACTGGATGTGGTAACGCTGCACTACGTAGTGGTGCTTTCTTATAAGTCCTTTCAGTTTCTCCATGTGGAAGAGCAGCTCTGCCATCTGACTTGAAACGCACCACATGGCCTTTCATTTTAAACATCGCTCCAAATCCAGTCCACTGAAAACAAGTGTTTGCGAGCAATGTCGGGTGAGGTTTGGAACTACTTACTTGTCAATATAGTCCTCGGGTGTTTTTATTTTGGGCATGTTCTCAGAGTGTCGTACGAGCCACTGGACCTCATCACGGGAGAAGGAGAGGGCCATGAAGACAAACAGAGCCTTGGGGGAAATTCAGTCAACACAGAAGACAGTAAAATAAGAGGAAATGCTGTCTTTTTTTTTTAAATCTTTGTCTGAACGCTTTGGACAATTCAGCGCTTCCAACTTTTGTGGAAACAGTTTGGCAAAAGCATGAATGAGTCCCAGCATAATGTCATCCATCCCTCCCTTCTTCCCATCCCTCTCTCTGTCCTTGAACTTGAAAAAAAATCTGACTTTTAACCTCATCAGACACTTTAAAGGATGAACTAGAAAATACAGTAAATCATGGGGTGAATACAAATATTTTGTGATCATTGGACAAAAAGGCCAAACAGAAACTTGACCCTTAGTCAAATGTGTCTTACCTTTGGCCCCAGCAGTCCTGGTTCATCCTCCAGAACTGTTACCAACTCCTTCAAGGCTCCTCGGAGAAAGTGTCTTCTCTCACGATGCAGAGCCCCGCTGTTAAGAACACAGTTCTAAAGTAACGAGCCATATTGTTGGGCACGACTGGCACAAAATGACGTGTCCTACCTGTTGGCTAAGGCGTGATCGCGGCACTCCTTAATGTCTGCGACTCGCTTGCCATATCTGATCAAGACGTAATTACTTGAAACAATCATATCATTGATCTCCGCGAGATTCACTATACAGTCGTGCATAGAGAGATGAGTTTCATTTCTCCGTCACCTCATGCAGAACTCACAACACTTAAATCACGTTTCCCTACTCAAATGAATGGAAATATCATGAATCCATTCCGGCAAACGTTTGTTGTGTGTTTAACAAGAAAAATATCACCCTATAATAAATAGTCTACTTTATAAGAAGATATAGCAATGAACAAATTTCAATAGAATTTTGACAATGAAACACTTTTGGCCTCATTTTTTGCTTGAATTCATTGAGCATTGTTCTGCTCCTTCTGGTGTGCATGCCTTGGCCACCTGGTCCTTCAGTAAGTATATCTACAGACTTTCATGGGGGGGCCACAGCGAGTGTAGAGGAAGAACATAGCATTTATATCTGCTGAAGGGGCGCTTCCGTACCCTTTGATGCTGTCAAAAAGGTCCTCCGAGACTTTGTGTATGTTGAGCAGCTCGTCTCTGATGATGGTGACGTATAGGCCGCTCCGCAGAGCCATTTTCCACAGCTCCTGGGAGGATGGATTGCTATTCAGGCTGCTGTGGCACAAGAGGAACCCGACTGGGGAACAAAAAAAAATGATGTGTTTAAAACGATCTCCCTCCAAATGATGTTTTTTTATTTTTTTTAATTTATTTACAGAGAAAATGACAATAACTGGAGTTAGTCTTCAGTGGGATGAGAACTTACTGACGATCCAGCGCTCTATGACATCCAAAGATAGATATTCACATGCCATCTATAGGATGGGAGAGCATCGGGCTTATTAACTTCAAACCTTGATCGATTACAATGGGCTTCCGTGCAATACAACCTGCATACAAAAGGAAGGTAAAACCCGATTCTCCAGCTGTGTTGTGCCATTTTGAGATTCAGTTCAATCTAGGGTAGCTCTTTCTGGGGTAGCAACTTTTGCACACATTCTTGTCACCAGATATTTTCAGAAGTGTCATGTTGTTGTATTCAATCTAAAGATAAAGAGCTTCGTCAAGGTCCATGCCAGCAAGTCGTTCTTATACGAGAGAGCTCCCGACCTTCAGGAAATGAAACATCACCTCAAAATAACGGTAACAGACAAACAAGATATAATGATGTGTAAAGGACGAGACATGCCCAGAGCGATAAATGGAGATGGGGTGGACAATTTAGGCATGATTTACATGAGTGGCGAAGAGAACTGTCAAAGGTGTGTAGCCATATCGTACACTTATTCAGCCTGTTGTTCTCTTGTTTTATTTTTATTTTAAATTGCCTTTCAAGATGACATGTATGTTTTTGGTGTTGGATTTCATCAAATAAATTTCCCCCAAAAATGCGACCTATACTCCAGTGCGACTTATATATGTTTTTTCCTTCTTAATTATGCATTTTTTTGGCTGGTGCGATTTATAATCCGTAGCGACGTATAATCCGAAAAATACGGTACTATGATCATTCTTTGTATTTATGACCGATACTTACTTACAGGAACCACCAATCCTGCCTTCCTACCTACTTATGTACGGTATCTACCTGCCTACATTACCGACCTACAGTACTTATTTACCTTCTTGCAGTACTTTCCTAGTAACCTAGCTAAACCAACTACCGATACCTGCTTACCTCCCTATTCACTGTACTTACTCAGCTACCTGTCCACAGTGTCTACCTACCTGCCTACCTGCTGTACCTACCAACCTTTCCAAACATCCATCCTTCTGGGAGCAAATAAATAGAAATCAATAGGTGACAGACTTACAGTGTCACAGCAGGCCGGGTCCAACATGGTGGCCGAAGCATTGAGCAGGCTGAGTAGCTGGGCACTCCGCCACTGCTCCACTGGCAGATTCCTCCGCGGGTAGATCATCCTCAGAGACAGCAGAGCAGCCGTCACCGACTAGAGTCACAGACAAGACAATTATGAAACTACCCGCCCCAACAAACTGTGATAACTGAGCCCTGCTGCGAATAGTGAAAATCTGTGCGTGATTGACACCTTCCCCTGAAAAGGTTTATAACTGACCACAGATGCCAAAGGATGAAGCCCCTTAACTCACCTCAACACAATGTCACGAATCGGTGCTAAATCAATACTATTATATTATACAGAACTTTGGCCTGAGCACACAAAGACAGTGAGTGAAACCTTAGTATGAGGGCCAAACTCTTCAGTGAGCTTCTTCCAGGGATGCTCGTACTCCACAAACATTTGGCTGAGCCGCGGGTATGAGGGATCACTGCGGGATTCAATGAGGTGTGTGAGAAGAAGACGAAGTGGGCGACGCTTTATGATCATGTCTCGTTGTAAATATCAAATTGTCTCACCTGCTTCCTTTGGTCATTTCGTGAGCGCAGTTAAACATCCCCACAAGGGCCTTCTTCTCGTCGATGCGCGCAAGTGTGACGATAACCGAGGTGTACGTGATGATCAGGTCCAAGTAGCTCTTGGTGAAGTCAAAGTTGATGGCCTAAAATCCGAAATTTCAACATATCTGTCAATCTAAAGCGGGGAACACATTCTGAAAAACGGGCCAAATTACAGTATTTTCTCTCCCTGCCAATCAAAGGTCAGAGGGCAGATTATCAGATGTCTGTAAATATTCAGAGTATTACCGCTAATTACCGTACAGCCAAGCAGCCTGGAATTTAAACAAAATTATATGTATATGTAGATGCAATACATTGTTTAGATGAGCAGGATAAATTGGATACCTTTAATGATGAGTAAAGTTGTCTTGCTCATGTGTAATGTCTACATAGTGACACATTTTCAGTCTGGGCCACACAAATATTTTCCCAATGACTTCCGTTCTAAGTTTAACATGCGCAGTAGTTCCTCTTCAAAGCAATAGGACCAAGGTGGGGCGCTACATTGCAGCGCCTCAGGTGAGCCAACATTACATCTATGACCACAACACTTGAGAGATTTCAATAAAATCAAGAAAAAAAAAAAGCATGTGAAGTTCCAACCGACTCAATTTTGTCTGCTGGAATTATTTGAGCTACTACTTGATTTATGGTACCTCCAAAACAATGTTTAGGCTTCTTGGATCAATCAGACAGTTTTCATTATTTTTGCAGTGCGTGTTGTAATAGCTGGTTGTAACCATATTGTTTGTTCTAAAGTTTGTGTGCTCATTTTAAACACTGCCATGAAAATGGGGCGGCACGTTTGTTGACTGGTTAGCACGTCGGCCTTAGAGTGGAGAGGCGCAGCGTTAGATTCCAGCTCGGGCCTTCCTGTGTGGAGTTTGCATATTTCTCCCCGTGCCTGCGTGGGTTTTCTCCGGGTACTCCGGTTTCCTCCCACATTCCAAATATGTGCATGGCAGGTCAATGGAACACTCGCAATTGTTCTTAGGTGTGATTGTGAACCCGAATGGTTGTTCGTCTATGTGTATCCTGTGATTGGCTGGCAACCAGTTCAGGGTGTCCCCCGCCTACTGCCCGAAGATAGCTAGGATGGCCTCCAGCACACCCGCGACCCTCGTGAGGATAAGCGGATTAGAAATTCGATGGATGCCATGAAAATGCGTCAGCAAGGGTAAATTACAAGGGTAGAATTGCCTTTCACAATTCAAATGTCAATGTAATCAATCATTAGTCAAAACGATAATTTTATGACATTGTTAATGACGTTAATCATATTGACATTTCAAGTGTAATGTGTCACTGTGTAACTCTTCCCTCATCCGCTCAGAAAACAGTTGTGGCCAAAAGTTGTACTTACAATATTGAAGAAGCACTGACTGGCATCGATGGTGTTTAGTAACTCATAGACGTGGTCCTTGAATGAGACAAATATTGGAGAAGAATTTAATTAAAAGCAAGCGCGGATGCCAGCGAAGCAATAACACACACATCAGTTGTCACCGGCATCCTACGCACAACACCAGCCACGCAGATGATTTCATCACCCCAAAAAGAAATTGCACGAATTCATCACCAGGAGTGAATTCTAATCATAAATGCAGACGATGCCTCGACCTCCATCATGCAAATGCTTGCAAAGAGTGTGACAAAGTGCACCTAACTAAACCCGAATTTGAAAATCAACTATTTTCTATGTCATCTAAACCACTCTATATGCAAATGTAATCTCCCATAAAGACTATATGGAAGTTAACTGAGAGAAGGTAATAAAAATAAAATAAAAAAATAACATTGGTCTATGGCATTTTAAATACATTTGTGTAATTGTGTGAATTTAATTTGCAATTACCCGGAACTCTATGACGTCCAGAAAGGAGTCATAGTAGCTTGTTGTGGCTTCCATCACTTCAGACTTTTGTCGCTGGATGCTGGTCAGACTTTGCTATGATGAAACGATTGTCATTACTTAGGAGCAGAGTAATACAGTGTCATATTCAGAAAAGACAACCGCACTGCGGAATACTTACAACGGTTCCGCGAAAGTCAATGTTAGGGAATTTCTTGGTGATATATTTGATGGCAGGCTCCATGGTCTTGTCTGTCAGGATGGATGGCCGCAGCTTGGCATCTGCACAGATCTGCACCACAGACGAACATAAAAAATAATGCATTTGACTTTAATAATCTTCTGTTTTGTTAGACTTTTTTAGTCTTATTAGAAGCTTCAAATATAAAAGAAAGGCAAAAGGCAATTTGTTTTCCAGAATGTTTTCTTCGCCTTGCCTAAATGGCTACAGATCAAGTGGCGGCATTCAGAAAGATGGGAAATGAAATCTAAAAATAAATATTTTTAAAAAGATAAAAGTGGAAGCTATGACAAGTATGAATCATTTCCTCAAAATACATGTCAAATTTGCATGCATACTATAACTCATTACTGGTTAGCGCTTCTTCCTCACAGTTCTACTGTATCTTATCTCAACTCCAGCTCTGCCTGTGTGGAATTTACACGTTCTCCCTATGCTTGCGTATTTTTATTTTTTGGGATACCCTAGCTTCCTCCCACAATCCGAAAGGCTGCATATTCATTTCATTGACGACTTCATCGTCAATAGTTGTGTGTGTGTTTGCTTGTCCTGTGTGTGCTCTGCAATTGACTGGGGACCATTCAAGGGTGCACCCCACCTGTCTCTCACCAAAAGTCTTAAAAAAGTTGTCCGTGTACAGGAAGTGAATGTGAGTGTGATTGGTTGTACAGTGCAATCAACTGGTGACCAGTCCAGGGGGTGTTTCCCACATTTCTTGCCTAAAGTCAGCTGGGGTAGACCTGTGATTCCTCTCGAAAATGGATGGATGGATCTCATTTATTGGCTATTCTTGTTTGACAGTTTCAGACTAACTGAACATGGTGATGACTGACAGCTCTAGGCCCACTTCCTGGTTGCACTTCCTCTTTTGTTTAGTGCAGTGGGGGAAGACGGCAAGTACGCTAACGGGAACAGGCGACAGATACTTTTGTTTACCTCAGTAGTGTAGTCAGATTTCAGAAGCTTCTAAAGTCACAAAACTATTTTTTGGCGATCCCCTCGAGTGTTCAACGCACACAATTATTTACGTTTGACCTCATGTACCAAATATTTTTTTCTTGTTTAATATGTTATGCAAAATGTTAATACATATTGTGCATTGTGTAATTAGCTCATAAATTAATTAATGCATATCTGAATAGAGCGTGAATGTGACTCAAGTTCCGTATTTCTTTTCTTTGGCTCAAACTCTTTTTAGTTCTGCGCTCACCTTCTTGATGTAATTCATGCGTATCAGCACCCCGTTGCCCCTCCCATTAAGGATGGTGAGCTTTTCTGCCAGTTTCTGATGGTTCTCCATGGTCCTTCCCAGTTTTACCGTTAAATCCGCTGAAGCGTCAGCCTCCGGTACACGGGCCCTCGAAAACAGGCGAGAGCACCCGAGGCGTCACCCCTGCCGATGGGTCACATGGGGCTTGTGGTTGTGGGTGGAGTTTGGACTTGTTGGGGGTGAGTTTGTTGCAATCATCCGTATGATGAAAGGATGTGTCAACAAGCAGATATGAGTAGAAATACTAAGAGAGGAAATACATGAAGGTACCATGTCATGACTTCTAGCTTTACTAGTCCGTATGGTCATATTAATACAATTTCCATAGTAATGAGAATGTAATCCATTTTATTTTAATGTCCTTTAACAGAGGTGTGAATATGTGAGTGGTTGTTCGTCTATGTGTGCCCTGCGATTGGCTGGCAACCGGTTCAGGGTGTCCCCCACCTGCTGCCCGAAGACAGCTGGGATAGGCTCCAGCATGCCCGCCACCCTCGTGAGGATAAGCTCATTTGAAAATGGATGGATGGATTGATGGATGTCTCTTAACGGGATGATGTCATACTGTTTAAAGGATCATTTTTCACATTTTCATAAATGTATCACTTTTTCTTTATCTTTCTATTTTCTTTGCATCTGAAGTAAGACTTCGGCCACATTCCTAGTTGCATCAAACCACTTATTAGGCCTCCATCTTTCTTTCTTTTTTTTTTTTTTTTAAACAAAGTCAAACCTACACAAACTTATTTGTATTTATTTGTACTTGTAATGTATGACATATACACTTTGTCATTTTTTTCGTGGACATCATAGTTATTCCAAAGTTATCAAGTTATTCCAAGACCCTAAAGTAACACAATACTGAATAAGATGTACAAATACATTTTTAAATACACAGTAAAGTACAGTAATGTACAATTAATAACAAATAAAACAAATATGAATTATTTTTGTCATTTTTATGATAAATATTTGTTACTTTGTATTTATTTGTACATTTTTTTTCCTTGAATCCATAAAACAGAAAACATCTAAAAATCTTTATTCTGCCACAAGGTGGGGTAATTTGACAACTTAAAATGACTAAAGCGGCAAATGCAATATTGTATGACAGTATGTCTCAAGTGAATTAACACCACTTTGCTTTGAAATTAAAAGCCACAAGGGGTTTTGTTTATTAGGGGAGAGAGCGAGGGATCATGTGATGCCACCCTCTCACCTGAGTGGCGATTTTGAGCTACTGACCCATTTGTTTGAGGAGAGGAAGAAGCAGAGCTGTCCAAAGGTTGGCCCAAAACAACTATAAACCGACAAAGCAACTCATTGACAACACAAACTGTGCATTGCTATGATTTAGCAAGTGCCAACATAAAATAATATGCAACGTGCACTGGATTAAAGTCTTTAGGAACTGCTGGCATGTAAAGGCCAATGGCTTTCAGCCTCAAATGCCTGTCTTAAAAATAAGGTGGAAAGAGTTTGAACAATAACTGGAACATCGATTTGTAAATACTCAAGCAAAACCTGACAAACACATTTCCTTACTAGTCAGACTCGGCATCTATAACATCTCGAACAAGTACAAATGTATCACTGGTATGATTTTTAGCTGGTGGATGCTTATTTCAAAACATATAAAGTAAATATTATTTCTTTGGGTTGCATAAAATGGTTAATTGTCGCTCATCTCAGCTTACAAACTGCTATTCTCTTCTTAGTCAGTCTTCTCACAAGACCCCGAACCGCTGAAAACTAGCATTCCATTTTGTAGATGTGCCCTCTGGTGGCGAAGATAAATGCTGTGTGACAACTTATCCTTGGGATAACAAGGCCCGGTCTCCCTGCTGTACATAAAATAGCGATATACAGTGCTGTGCATAGTCTTATGGCCTTGTCAAACCACATGACTTTTTTGTGGTTCAGGATGGTTGCGCTGTCAGACTACCAGATAAATATCTGTCATGGACCGGGAGAGATATCACATTACAAGACCAGACATTGCGTAGTTGTGTGCTTCTGTCAAGATTCAGTCTGTCGCAGGTCCGTTGGGGAGGCGGGACAAGCAGCTGTCAAAGTCATGTCGGCTGAGGCATTATGTGCATGTGCGTCGTTTCTGTGTTCATAAAAGGCAGGAAAAAAAAGAGAGTATGGACCCGTTGCTCGATGATCAAGTGAAGGTGGTAATGACTGTTCTGTTCTGCAAAAACAACATGAGTTAACAAAGATGTTTAATACACCACGTTTGCTAATTAGCTATTACCTTGACACATATACTTTCCAATATTCCCCTTTTGTCCAAGTCACTTTTTAGCACGTTGTGATTGTGTGTGCCATGTCCAATCTCTCATTATAAGTAGGAAGGCGTTGTCTTCTTATTGGTCAATGTCAAAGAACCATTTGGCGGATGACATTGGACACAGGTGTCAAACTCAAGTCTCGGGGGCCAGGTCTGGCCTGCCACTTCATTTTATGTGGCCCGCGGAAGCAACTTTTCAACATCAACTTTGATGAATCGTGCTAAAATCTCGACCAGAATTTCAAAATATCATCGATAGTATCACAGAAATAATAATGCACAGATATATTGCGTTTTTTTTTTTTGGTTTTTTTTTTTGGTTTTTTTTGCCAAGCCACTTTTTAAAACAACTTGAACAATAGTTGAACAAACTATTATCCTTGCCATTTGATTTCAAGTAGTTATCCATCAATTGTTCTGTATATGTAGTAATATGAAGCGATTAAAAATGTGTTTGGTGTCACAGGTCATCCTGGCCCTCTGCGGGAAACCGCAAGTATAATTTGGCCCGCGACAAAAATGAGTTTGACACCTATAAAGGAGGACCTTTCACACTGCACGGGCTACGATGCATCAAGACAACTCAAAATCGGCTGCGAGACATTTCGTTTGTCTCTGAAACGTCTGTCAGCTCAAAATTGGGCTGCATTCTGTGTAGAGTGATGTCGGTATTGTTTTAGCAGTGCCATAATGATCATATATACTGGATATACAACATTAGCCAATCAGTTGCTGGACACATGCTGAGTTCACAATTACCTTTAGATTCTTCTATTTGTTCTACTTCTACAGGGTCTGGATGCCCTGTGGCACCATGGTGCCCCTCACTGGTTAGTCTTGGTACTATTACAGACAGTGGGAGGTTACTCGTGATTGTTGGTGGGGATATCGTTTTATGTGTGGTGTGCTGTGTTGAGCATAACGAGTACACAACACACACACACACACACACACACACACACACACACACACACACACACACACACACACACACTTTTTTTTTCCTCAACATATGTGAGGGGTCACTCACAATTTAAAAATCGGTTAAGATGTTAAAAATCAATATGTGTATCAGCTACACAATGATAGAGCTCAATCTTAATGTATTGTGGTTTGTTGCGCTCCCTACTGGCAGAAATGTAACGCCGTCTGGCACAAATTTCCTCTGACGGGAGCCATGGTCCATTGCTGGTCAACATCTATTTTTACCACATTGAGTTAATTACTGTGACTTCAGTCTCTTGTCACATAAACAAGAAAAAATCCAAAGCTACCTTGACATCCATGTGTCACTTTCCGCTTTTCTCGCCAGCACTCCTGTGAGCTTTGTAACAGATTGAAAAAAGTGCAAATGGAAAAAATGAAAAACAGCTCACAGGGATTCGTTGTCTTCACTCGAGTTAACCACAGAGAAGGAAAAATAAAAACCCTAATAATCTTGTTTGTTATTTCCCTTTTGGCAGAAGCTCAGAAATGTTGAGAAGACAGTGTGGAATGAGCAGGAGCAGGGAAAGGAGAGCCTGTTAAGAAGATCCTCACCTGACTTCATTGTTGTAGAGACAGTGAGGAAAGGTTTGGTTCACCAATCATAAATGAAAAAAAAAATCCAGCGTCGAGCTACATATCACAACAACAAATGTTTAAAAAAATTTTTAATCACAGGTACAAGTACATTTTTACAGATTAATTTTTTGCATTTTTGAGTCGAAATCTGCCCTACTTTTTTTGTCCAGCACACAATTTACGAACCCGAATTGGTTCTGTGATCCTGCGTGTAACTCTAAACATTCATAAATGTGAGTGATAAAACAATTTAGGGGGAATAAATGAATTCAATGATTTTCGAGAAAAGCACAGTGTGTTACATAAAGTCGACGGCCGCGACCTAATGCTAATGACAGGGGAAGCGCTTGGCAAGTGCTTCCAGCTTCGGCTGCCGTCCAGATGTCTGAAGCGTGACGGCAAAGCACATGGGCAGGTCCAGTAAATGCAATATAAGCCGACTGGAGACCTGTGCAGAGATTTCAGATTATCAGCATTTCAAGTTTTAGACATTGGCTCCTCAACAGTTTTTTGTCTGCAGCTTGCTTTTTTTGACCATTTTGGGTTTCACGTCATAGTTGTCGTTCTAGCGTACAGACGTGAAGGAAATACTGTCATTACAAAGGATAATAAGTCAAAGTTGCAATAATAGTCAGAATATTGCAATTAATTGGCTTCAAATTCAGCACGGGAGAGGTGCGCCAACTACATGCTTGAAGTATAACGTGCTCGCTGGAGTACGCAGGAGATCAGCATGAGCGAAGTACGTTTATAAGAACCACATAAATCGTCCATGGCCCACTGGAACTGGGCGTAACGCAGTATGACAAATTCCCGAACAGTAAACTAGACTTTACCGTGGCACAAAAATAAAGACGCGCCAGTTTTCAAGTGCATGTGCACCTGCCTACAAAAATACGGTCCATTGCATATGATGCTCTTTTTGTAGCATTTTACTCTTATCTCACTTCAAAACGAACCTAAATTCTTAAAATAAAAACTACATTTACTAAAATACACACTGCAAAAACATGTTGTACAAAGTGTATAAATAAATGTGGAGAGTTGTATTTGTAATCTCTCGTTTCTGCTAAATCTTGTGTCGATCATGCTGGTTTGCTAGCAGCCGCTAACAACAATGCTAACAGCGATATACATTTTGTAGTTTGCCTCAATCATGGGGATTTGAAACAAAAAGTGTGTCCATCAATTAATACTATACCTAATATAAAAATTCAGATTTCTTTTTTTGTCTGTGCTTTCTGACATTTTGTGGGATCCATCGTATTTTAGAAAGTGTACGAA